TTTAGCAGATACAAAATGTGACACTGTATGATTGAAAGATTATTATGAGCACAGTTGTTTGAAGAATTGGTTATGCTCATGACTGTCAGTGTTTGGCACATTCTGAAAATCTGGCAGTTTACTAAGGTGGTTCTGATAATACGTAAGTACCCATTATTTTATTTCTTGAAGACATTAGTACCACTAAGTTCCCTAACAGAAGCCCATAGGAGAAAACTCCCTGCTCATTATATGCAGGCACAACAAATACCTTCATTGATATTATATTGTATTGATATTATATTGCATTCACGTATTATATTGTCATGTCGAGAACTCCCATTAAGTAATCAATTTTTATTCTCAATAACTCTCTTTATTATTTTCTTCACAATCAGTGGCAATATTTTACTGGTAAAATCTGCAACAGGCTTTGCTATCCATTAATTGGTTGACGATTGGAGCATTGTCATTACAATGAAGATTTCAGCTGTAGCATCTTCATTTTGCATTTCTTTGCCTATTCCTTAAATTGAAAAATTTTGCAGTTCTTTTTTGTCAAAGTCACAGGTCACTTTTTTTTTATTTGGGGTATTTCCTTGGCAGCATTTGCCACCAGCTTAGTTTGGCTTCCTTTTTTTTTTTTATCTAATCCTAGGTTTTATTTACTTATTTTTCACTGCTGATATTAATTTTTAATTGTTCAGGATTGGCCAATAGATGAAGAAGCGACTATCCTATCCTATTTTTTTCAAGAAAAAGACATACAGCATAAAGATTATGTCTGAGTAACGACCTCATGAAATTAAAATGTGACTCAAGCCAATATAGCAATATTTTCTGTCATTCCAGCTTACTACAGATCTTGTCATCCATTAATTGATTGGTTATTGAAGCACTATCAACACAGTGGAAGACTTCAGTTATATTATCTTAATTCAGCAGTTCTTCACAATTCCATCAGTTGAAAAAAATAACTTGTGATATTATCAAAAAATAACTTGTGATATTATCTCAAAATCCTTACATCAGTTGCTATCATCATCATCATAAAATATGGTAGCTAGAGGCCTGGCTGGCAGCATTTTTGACGCCATAGACAAATAAAGCAATTAGAGCCTCATATTATTGAAACATATTGCAAGTAAATATACCATATGAACAAGTAAAATGTACCTTTATTTAACTGCCACTTATGATAACAACTTAATTGGTACCCTTCAATAATCGGGACCATATGCACAGCTTCCTGTGTTATTTGTGTTTTTGAAGGCATTTTTAAAAATATCTGCAGACCTATCCTCTCATGACCTTGCAATGTGCCACATAGCTGATGTTATATTAAAATATCTTAAGAATTCTGGAATGGTCTTACTGCTGCAGCAGTTTCAAAAGCACTATTTTATTCAAAGCAAAATTCTTTTTAGCAGACATCTAGATTTCAGACTATTATTTGGTTGATAATTTTATAGTGGAAAGTAAGGCAAAATTTGTAGGGCAGTAGTGATTTAGATGGTTAAATTTCAGATATTAATATTCATGCTATTAATATAATGAAGCTGTCATGGCTGAGGTTTTACTTTAGGAATTTTGCATATACTCTAACAATTTCTGGCTGAAGTTTTACAGCATACCTGGATAATAGATCATTCTAGTTATCAGACATTCAGATTTCAGACTTTACACTATATTATTTGGTTGTATAATGGAAAGTAATGGCAAAATTTGTAGGACAGTGTTGAGTTAGATGGTTAAATTTCAGATATTAATATTTGCACTATTAATTTCATCAAACTCTCATGGCTAAGATTTTGAATTTTACATATACTCTTAACAATTTCTGGCTGAAGTTTTACATTAATGATTTCACATTTAACTTTTATGTTAATGAAAGTACACTATGTGTAAATTAATTACCGTATTTGCCAGCATATAAGACACACTTTTTTCTATGAAAATGGGGTGTGTCTTATACGTCGATACATCGTTTGTGAATGTATCAAAGCTTCAAGAAGTAAGTAATGCACTGTATGGTACAGAGTACAGTTTGTTGTGTGAGGACTCAAATGCTGATTTTGAAGAGGTTTCAAATGACTCTTCATTTAGCTCTGGAGATGAGTGTCTGGGTTTTGACGAAAGAGATTGAAAGGTGTTCTTTCCCAGATAGACTGGGTATTTTCAGAAAGTATTATCTGCATTTGTATTACTTTATATTAAAAATACTACAAATTCATTATAATGATCAGTAATAAAAGTTTTATCCTTCAAAAATGTGCATAAAAAGGGGGTGCATCTTTATAAGCCAGCAAATATGGTAATTAATTAAAAACTAGCTATGAAATAACTATTCATAGCATGTAATTAAATAAGCATTATATTATTTGTTTCCTAATGATCCTTTTAATAAATCTATGCAGTTTTTGCAATGTTGTCAACAGCATTGTATGTAATGAAAATTTCTGACTTAGTGGGTGCAGTTAAGTTCCAGTCAAGTGTAATTTATTTATCATATATACTTGCAGAGTTTCTTTTTTGAGTGTGTGTGTTGCCCTGTAAACACTTCCAAAATTCAGCAAGAGATATTCCCATATTTGCATTGTTTCCAAATACTGATAGATAGCAAATACCAGTTTTTTCTAGCTTTGAGGAAAAAAACAGACTTTTTATATTATCTTCAAAATCTAGCAAACTTTCTCTATGGTGGAGTTCTTTAGCACTAGCTTATCAGTTCTAATGAAATTGATCAATATTTTGAGAAACAAGAAGGCAGTATTAAAATTCTTTAAAAATGGAAGAATAATCTAACAGTTATGATAAAATTAAGATAAAATAACATGCTGAACAAGTATTAATTTAGAAGTCAGACAATAGAAATCAGTGTTATATTTGGAAATTTTCACAGGTTATGATAAAAATTAGAAAACGATAAGTAATGAAATACTTTGAAAAAATTTGGAAATTTTAGAAAATTCTATAAAATTCACTGAAACTCATGCTATTATAAATTTACTAATGTAAATATTATTCCACAATTCCCAGCATTACCGAGTTCCACCACTCACTTGTGTTCAACTTTGTTGGTGTTTTGATACAATAAATAGCAAGTTTAATTCACAAGCATTATTGCCTAGAATCTGTTAATCTGTTGTCAAATAAAATTTGTTTTTAACTCTCAGCAGAACTTTGGTCTATTACTTATCATTTCAGTTGTCTTATAACTTGTGCATGCTGGTCTCATTAGAACAAACACATTGCACTGAATTCTGGGCACATCAGTCAATTTTATTCAAAACCTTGGTATGATGTTCTGGCTTCTGGGCTTGACTGCAGTTCTTTCGCTGACCTCTTGTCATACCTTTTGTGCGGTTACAGCCATATAAGTATCCACTGTGAAGTTTCATTTGTGATAAATCGTTGCTGTGTCTTTTGGTTTTCTGACCCACTTTCTGAAAATTGTTCTCATACTAATTTAACTTTGCTTTGGTTAAATTTGAGTTCATTCGGTGCATCTCACTTCAAGCTCACGATCACTGACAACTCTGAATTCATTCATGTATGTCACTGAACTTGTTCACATCTTCCAATTTATTGCCAATTTTACTTTGAGTAAAATTATCCAAAATTCTTTATGCTATATAGTACTTGTTATAATTGCACAGTTCAAAAATCTGCAAAATTTAACCCATGCAAAGTGAATTTACCTGTATATTTCAACTTTTATCCTGTCCAAAAATCTGCTGTTATACGATTCCACTCCTTTGCATAATCCCAAATCAGTCAACTGAATCTGTCTTACATGATAGCTCATGCCATTAAAAAATTTCCATTATAAATAACCAGTTTTAGCATACTTAAATTTGCATTTTATTCTTGTCTTTAATTTATGGACCTCTATTGTTAGTAGAAAATTTGTTATGGTAGAATTCTTATAAACCACATATTTTAAGAGCAAGGATTATGTAGATCAGAGAATTTTGCATATTAATCAGTCATATCTTATATCATAAGAGAAACCTTAAGAATGTATTAATGCCCCTAGAAATAATTAATTAAAATATATTGAATACAAAGCTGCTGCTATTTTTAGAGAAAAATGTAATTGGAACAAAAAGGGATAAATGATGAGAAAATGTTTTAAGCAAGTAAAGATCTCTTTTGTAAAAAAAGCATCAAAATGTAGATTTATGTATTTGAAAATTAATTTCAAAATAATATTTATTCTCTTAATTGTGAGAAAATTAATAAATGTGCTATTTAAAAGAATTCCAGTAGTATGGTTTTACTTAAGTGCAAACCCTAGGTTAATTTCATGCATATAGTTGGATTAATAGCACTGCTGGCAGTTTAAAAAGAGTGCTAAATTGAAAGTGTGTATCAGTTAAAAGAAAATTTTATTATTATCATTATTTTCCTATTACCCTTTACCATATCTTTCATTTTTAAAACAATGTTAGTCTCTATAAGTTTCTGTTTTCAAGAATATATCCATATTCTGGATTGTGAAAAAAGCTTTCTCATAGTATGAAATTTAAACAGATGAATTATGAGAAGGTTTAATAGTGTATTTTGAGTTGGAGCTCAGTGTCTGAAAAGTCATGGATACTAAATTAATTCTGTATGTATGTGTATAATGAAAATAAATTCTGTATGTATATTAGGCCAAAATAAATTTTAAAAGACAATAGAATATGTATTCATAAACACCCAAAAGTAAAAATTAAGCCCCCCCCCAAATAAAAGATGCAGAATTTCTCTGTCTTTGAATTTGCTGTTTCAGTCGTGGTATGTTATAAATTCAGTTTAATTTTTTTAAAAAGGTGTATTTGTACATACATGTAAGAAAAGAAAATTAGTTAAAATTTACCTTGCTGAATTTTTGAAAATCTAAATTTTGAGTATTTTTATCCCAGAATACTACTGTATTTCCTTCTTAACAAGAAATTTTATTTATGTATCTAGTCTTTAATTATTTGTTTCATTTTATATAAGTATCCTTTTTTTTTTTTTTTTTTTTTTTAAAGCTTTTTACTTAGGTGTGAAGATGTTTATCATAGATTATTTGTTTTATCGATTTCCAAGAGTGCAGCAGAAGCATGATACTACTGCTAGGCTATGGAGATCTTTGCCAACTGATGCACAGCTTGAAAGAAAGCATAACCGAGCTGAACTGGATAAAGTAATTGAATTATATGAAATCCAAGTGCTATCATAATTTAATCAAAGTTTTTTTGGGCATGAGTTTTTGCATCTTATTTCTAGTCATAACCGGAGTCGGAGTAACGCGTAAGACATCTTAGGCATTGCTTAATATTATTCAGAACAAAAGTCAGTTATTGTTCATCAGGCACTTATTAACACAGAAACTTTAGGTACAGGTCCTTTCTATAACTAAACAAGATCACTTTTCTTGTAAATTTTATTAGACAAAAGCAGAGTCATGAGGAGATAACAGCAAGATTTGCAGCCTCGTAAGATGTAGGGCATGGATCTCATGTACCTAGGCATCAGTCGGACCCTGTGTTTCAATTTATTATTTAATAATCTAAAAATTCAAGTCTATTTCTTAGATTATTATGACTTATAATAAATAAAAATGAGCTTGAATGAGAGAATAGATGCAGAACTTTTGGCATGAACATAAATTTAGACAATTTATATAACCCGAGTCACCCATTGCAGTTAGTATGCTCAGGAAAGAATAATTGAATGCAAAGATGTTTATTGAATTTAATGTATGTGTATAATATTTTCTGAAGTAGTAAATGACAAAGTTAAATGTAACAAAAACTAAAGAATGTTTTCTCTCCTACGTGTGTGTGTGTGTAAAGGGGGGGGGGTTAAGTAATTATACAATCTATTTTATTTTTTGGAGGAGATACAGGGATGTTTTGAATATTTTTTCCCTCCATCTTTATCACCAAAGAAAATTTTAGATAAGACGTAGAAAACACTTGCTTAAATAATAAGACTAATTAAATATCAACTTAGGATACAGTTAAAAATAGCCTTCTTTTTTTCATGTTTTCATCTACGAGAAAACATAATATCACTGGCATCCAAAATAAAATGTTGTCAACAGCAATTCATTACAACCTGAATTTTCTCTGCGTGGATCTGATGCCTCTTTTCAAACACTCCTTAAGTGATATAAGGGTAATTATGGCATTCCTCCATGTGTGTTCTCAGAATACATGCAGTAGCCAACCCAACTAGAAATGGGAAGATTAATGGAAGGGATGGCTTTCTTTTTTGTGTTGCTTGGGGGGGGAGAACACTAATGTTTCTATAAATATATTATAGGCTCTAAAACTAAGCATATAAGCCTATTCAAACAAAAACATTCTTAAAGTGTAGGAAATTTTTAGGTTCATAGAGAATTAGATTCTGATAGTGCTGATTTAAATCCAACTAACTTTCAAGGACTTTTTAAACGTATTGCAATTTATAATCTCAACGCAGCTGTTCCCATAACGAATTTGGAATTTTAATTTAGAAATTTGCTATTTAATGAAAATATTGATTAGATGCAATTTGTAGAGTGCATAATATCTCTATGGTACATTGTTGGAAGTTTTTCCTTCTTAGGTTGCTATCACACGTTCGTTTGTTTCGAAAGAACAATTGTTTGGGACAATTTTTCTGCTTTGTCACAGCAGCCAATCATCACAGACTGCTCTGAGGTTAACATGAGGAAGACTGGTTCTTCATTACAAACAAGCTGATTTGAAACTGATAGGTTGAAAATGAGCAACTTGCAATTTTTTTCAAAGGGAAGGGAAAAATCTTGTGTCTTTCTTCCAATAATAAACCAGGCAGAAAAATTGTCCTAAACAGTTGTTCGTGTGAAACAAATTCATGTGTGATATGGGCCTTACGCAACGCAACTGAAAATGAAGTGAATAAACAAAGTTATTTGTTGCAAATTCATCTTTATAATTGAGGTAAAAAGTTAATATGACAGTATTAACTATATTATACAATGTGGCAATTACGGAATGAAGCCATATTCTTTTTTTAATCCCATATAAAGCTGAAACATCAGAATTTCACGGCATTTTAAAAAGTCGTGTTTTTGTAAATCTTGTTTCACACGTTGTCAGTAAACATGTCTTTTATTTAGAGACGACGAATCCAGAACATCAAGATCTGGGATTCCTGTTTCTTTAAGATTATACAAAAACATAGAAGGGGTAAGTGGAGTTAAATCATCAAGATATTCTGAAATATAGGTTAAAGATCACTGATTGATCAACCTTTAACCTATATTTCAGAATATCTTGATTCAATTGTCACAAATGATGTCACAAAAATGTGAATGTGGGCTTATGCTAACAGAATCAATCAATATATAATTATTATATAATTATTTTAACAGCTTATTTTAAAAATATTTACAGAATGAGCATGCAATGAGCAATTTCAAGTTAAATTTTCTGAAATCGTGCAATTTCAGAATCATCATATACGGTTTAAAGGCATGACTGTGAAAACTATGTTTTCAAAGCCTTATAAAAACAATTAAACATATATTTTTGCTTATAATTATGGTTGTCATATGAAAGAATTACTGTGCATGATGATTCATGATATTCATGGTATTTCATGATATAGCCTATTCTAGCTTACTGTCCTTGCCTATAGACAATCATGGATATGGGATCACAAATATATTTTCCAATAGTTAGTTTTTATTCTGATGATATTTGAATAAAAATCTGTTCTTTTATTACATTAAAAATAAGGAAATATTATTCTTAAATACATATAAAATATATTCGCAGTTTGTTTAAACATTTCCTGTGATTTCACTGCAGATAAAAAGTTGTGTTTAATTCTCCGTCATTGATTGTAGTTTCGTGGAAGAAGTTCCATTTTCATTTGAATTAGTTCTTAAGTTTCTGATGTCTTTTGTAGTTCTGTATAATTGTTGTTTACATTTGTAATTAGTTTTTGTTTAAAATGCGTCCAGAAATACCATTTTTACTCAAAAATAAGACCCTCTTGTTATGCTACATTTATGTTCTTTGAAATATAGTAAGTTCATATAAGCTGGTAGTTGGGTAAAAGTGAATTGTAGAATGAGAAGAAGGAGTTTAATTATCACACTGCATAGAATAATTGCACTGTCTAAATAGTAAATAAACCATGCAGTTCATCTTTCAAATAAACCACATAATATATTGTACATATATTAAAAAAATTAGATTTTTCCTCTTGCCAGTATAGAAAGATTTTAATTTTGTGTCATTTATCTCTTGATTATTTATTTATTTAATTTTGCATTACAATGATAATTATTAATTTTTTTCTAATTTGAAATATAAATCCATACATAACTAGCATTTACGAAAGCCTGTCTAGCTAAGCATATCTAACTGAGCAATTTCAATTTAAGCCTGCATCACTCGGTTGATATGTGTGAAAATGAATAAGTAACAATGCGTCATTAACTTTTCCTCACCTTTTCTGTGTCCCTTGAGCATAGCAATGCTGTTACATTAAGAAAATTCTGAAGAAGGGATAATAAATTGAGATTTTTCTTTCTCAGAATTATTGGAAAAAATAATACAAAATAATGCACATTCATTTTTATTTTGCTTCATTTTTTTAAGTATTTATCTTAAAACTTAAGGAGGTTCATATTTTAGAATCAATACATTACATTAAATATGAAAACAGATTTAAAAAAAAAGAAGCATTCAGTATTATGCCTGATAAAATTGCTAGTAGTATGACAATTTCACTTTTATAATATATCATTTTAAATTGAGCATGATGCAGTACGTTGCTTCTAATGTGTAAGAGTTTCAGGACTAACAAAAAACAGATATCTATTAGATGTAAGAAGATAGTGCTTCTTATAATTTTGTTAATTGAATGATACTTAAATTTCTGTAAAAGCTTGCTATAAATTAAGAAGTTACCAAAGAAAAGTTGTAAATTTTGCAATTATATATATATTTTAATTTCTAAGGGAGCAATAATCTGCATTTGTAAGCTTTTAATTGAAAATTTAGATTCTGTTGTGGTTCAGTATATTTTTACCTTTCAGTATTATGAAGGAGGTAAAATGAAATACTATTTTTTGTGTTATTGATCTTTTATCATCTAAGAAAACTGTTTGAGTCACTGCTGATTATATTTTGGTGCATTTATGACATGTTTTTTCTTTTTCTAATTAATTTTTTTTTTTTTTTTTTTTTTTTTTTTTTTTTTTCCTCAGAGTGTCAAAGTTTTGATGTGAGTGATGGCATTTTAAAAGTAATAAACATGTTTTTCAGCTTGTGGTAAATCAAGGTACCAGCCCAGGTGCATCTCTGTCCTCTGAAAATCAGAATTTCTGCGAACTGTTCAATTTACCTCCAACAGAAACACCACTGCCCAGTAATCATTTTAAGATTATTATTCTATTTAATATTATTTGCCTGAAAAAAATTATTTTCAACAAAGCTATGACTTTAAAATAATAGCTCTTTTAAAAGTGTGTTAAATATGGATAAATGAAAATTTTTTGAATTTTGTCAAATTTTCCATGATTATGAATTAAATTGCTATGGTTCTTTGATTAATTAAGATTTCTAATATCTATCTTATGATATAATTAATTCTTTACACCCTGAATTAGTAATTCTGGCTAAGCTTTTTATTTTGGGAGCAAAATAGGCAACTACAGTAACATAGAGCTAAAATAATATTCAGTATTATGCTATACCACTCCAGAGTCCAACATCCAGAATCATTTTCCAAATTTTAGATCATTCATTGAAATCTAGTGAAACAGCTGTAGACATAAAACTAAAAATATGAAATGCTTGTTTGAGAAATAATGAAGTATTTGTAATTTTAATGAAACCAAACTTTAAAAAAAAAAAAAAAAAAAAAAATTCCATGTTAACATTTATTTTATTAAAAATTTCTTTGAATGTGAGTTGTCTAAGCAGTTTTGTTTTTTAGTGTTAACACAAATAAAGTTTATTTTATATAGATATATAACTCTTGTTCAGCTACCAAGAGTTCATTTGTTCAAGTTCTATAATTGCCATGTCAAGAATTCCCATCTAGTAAATCAATTGAAATTTTTTCGTTTTCAATGATCTCTTTATCACTTTCTTCAATGTTAGTGGCAGTCTGATGGATGTTTCACCACCTATCAAGTGACTGATGTTCAGGGAATTGTCATCACAATGAAGGCTTCAGTTATATCATTTTCATTTAGCACTTCTTCACATATTCTGTAAATTAGAAAAATCTGGAATCTGGACCCAGGCACTGCCTTGTCATTTAGCTTTTCTCCTAATGCTACCCTGTCTTTCATTCAATTTTTTTTTTTTTAATAGTTTAAAGGGGCTTTGTCCCTGAAGGACTATTGTTTTCGTTTTGCAATTTTGCATTGAATCACTACAAATGTCCACTTCACTTTTCAAACTGTTGCCACCAAATGTTAGAGTCCTGCATTATATTTGAAGAAATTAAATAATGAAAAATCTGCATAAATGTTTATATATTTCTTGCATTGTGATAAAACAACGGTACATAGAGCCATTGAATTTTGAATGATGTAATCCAACTGTGAATATGGGCATGGGGAAGCTCAAATTTGAAATTTGGAATTTGTTTTATGATCGATTTCATATTTTGTAAAAATTTAAGGAATTTTTGAGTAACAAACTCAATGATTTGAAAGCGAGCAATGGCAACAATATATGGGGGGGGGTGACCTGTTTATCTCCAGCGCATGAAACTGTGTATCAGAAATTCTAAAGATAGGCCCATTTTGAAATTATTTTGCGACATCGCTATTAAACTGAAATTTATGGTTTAAGTGTGAAGAACATTATATTTAATAAATTAAGGTAACACACAAAATGTTAAAAAAAAATGCCCCTTTGGATGTAATTTAAAATCTGAAACTTTTCATTTTTTTGATGGGAAAAATTTAATTTAATTTATTTTTTGGGGGGATTGTCAAGAGGTCAACAAGTGGCTATCCTATTTCTCCAACAAAGAGGTTCTGTGAATGAAGAAGACTGTATCTGAATAATCATATTAGCAGGTTAAAATGTGACTCAGAATTGAAACAATGATATTTTTTGTCATTTCATCTTACTACAGATTTTTAACATCTGATTTAAACAGTAACTGATTAATGAATGGGACATTGGTCCTGCAATAACAGATTTAAATTGTATCATCATCATTTAACTTTCTTTGCAAATTTTCACATATCCATTAATTTGAAATTTTTAAATGTTAATCATGAAATATCCAAAACCCTTCAAATTCAGGGTTGTTGTCAGCATGAAATATGGTAGCTTGCTGTATGTAGATTATGCCGAGCATTTCTAAAAATGTCCTAAGAAAACCTGTCCTCTTGTGATGAATTTGCAGTGCTTCACACAGCAGAATTTATACTAAAATATTTCAAGAATTCTTGGATGGTCTTACCACTGTATCAACTTTAAAATAACAGTTTTATACTCAAGTTTCAAGGTGCTTAGATTCCAATTTCGATTGTCTAGGAGAAATATTTACACTGAAACTTCATATTTTATTACAGCTCAAATTTTTATAAGATAATAGTAATAATGATAGACTGAACAAAATAATAAGTGGCATCAAATTAGAAAGTTAAAGAAGAGCACAATTCATGGTGATAGCTGAACTTTAGTTGGAATCTACAAAATGTGTTTACACATATTTAGAAAAATTTCAATAAAGAATTGATAAAAGAGCAGATGTTTTGTAATAAAAATTTCTGGCAACAGCATATTATTTGAAATGAGAAATATAGTCTGCTACTTTTGAATTTATTTTTCTTTTAAAATGTTGTGTGTAAATAAGTTGTGGGAGGAAGGATATTTTTGTGCTTTCCGAGGGAAAATATATATATATATTCATATTGCCAACAATAGAAGTCTGCTGACACAGAAATCAGTTGCAAAGTATTTAAATACATATATAGCAACAACTAAGATTTACAACTTGAAAAGATAAAGCATATAATATTTACTAATTTTTGCCGAGTCGTGTGTCTCAGTGAAGAACAGTTTGTAGAACCTTGTATGAAAACTATTTAATAGAAGATAAATGGATATACATTATAACCCTTGAAAAAGCATGGTTAAGTAAAATTTACTTTAATGTCTGCCACAAGAGGAGGTCTATGTATTATCGAAAATGAAGAGAAAAAAGTGTACAAAATCGGTTCTATCAATGCAAAGAAAATTTCAGTAAAGGATTTTTGTTGCAGGATTCTCTTACAGTGGGAAGTTAAATATAAAAAAAGATGAAAAAAAAATTTTAAATCAACTCAGCATACTGCCAGGAGAAAGTTTTATGTCCGATATTTACAGAAAAAATTCTATTTCTTCATCACAATGACTTTCAAAGAGCAAAACTTCATCTAGACGAAGCAACAAGTCATGTTTCGAAAAGTACCATTGCACACCTTGAAAAAACAAAAAATGATACAGGTATTGCCAGCATACCTTTCGGTGTATTCCTACAAAGTCTTCTGATTTTTTGCTTCTCATAGTCACCACTTGATGGTAAAAAATTAGAATGTGCTTCTTCAAAAGACAGGTGTTTAAAGATGAAACAGTGCACAAAACTGTTGCAGAAAATGCAGTTTTTCAGCAAAAGAAATCTCAGCTAATTAAGGCAAAAATTTATTTACTGCACACTCTTTTTTCTTGAATATCATATTCTCTGTTTCTATATTCCTTTAAAAAATGTTATTAAAGTTTTTATGGCATGTCTTTATAATAGGTAATTCTAGTTATTACCTATCCGAATTGCACACTTTGTGCTGTACTTGAATTTTTATTTTTGAAAGCAAGAAGAAAATTTAAGTATCTGTACCATTACACCTTTTTAGTTAAAAATAAATATAGTCTGTTGTTTTTTACAATTTTGGCCTGACATTTTTTGCAAGGGCTTGTCGTAATCTTTTATCTTTTAAATGTCTGTTTAATCAATAGTCATGCACTATTATAAGGAGCAATAGAAAATGAGGGCTTAAATATCGAAATGAAATCTAAGTTTCAAAGTCACAAATGCATTTTTAGAGTTAAGTGAAGATCAGAAAAATAAACTTGAAATTTGTTTAGAGTCTTAAAGAGGGAGAAAAATAATGTTTTCTTCAAACTTAAGATTACGAAGCTTATACATGAATTTCATCCAGACATGTAGCTTACTAATGACTAATTGCTTCCTGTTCACCCTTCCTAAACATCCAGTTAATTTCATTGGAATTCTTTAGTTAGCTTACTTCTGTGGAGAAAAAAAAATGGATTTTTGAAATATCAAGAAAATTTGATTTAATATATTGATTATTAATTTTTGAGGAGGGATGTAGTAAATGCTATAATTTATATGGATGACATAAATAAATTTAACAACAAAAGCACAGATTATTGAATTATCAGTGGTATGAAATGCATGGCTATTAACAAAGAAGCTTACGAATAATTTGTAAAAAAGGAAAAAAAGAAAGGAAAGAGAAAAAAATACACTATGAAAGATATAATAAAGAAAAAAATTTTCCGAGCAATTAGTGTATCACATTACTAAAGAGGAAAAAAAGGGCAACATCTGCAAGGGGGGGAGCTATTTTGGAATTTGTCGAATGGAATGTGTTACTATTCAAGGCAAATTTTGATCAGGCTTCTAAGATTCACAGCAAAATCAAAGCAGAAACATATATGCTATTAATGCAAGAAGTTTAATGTGTAGGTTGTTTCTACAAAGATAAAGGGTACTGAATGGTATATGTGAAGAATAATATGAATGTGCTCTACCTTAAAAGAAAGCCAAAGAAAATTATCCACGAGTCTTCAGATTCTACTGCCTAGAGTTTAGGAACATTTACGAAAGTTCCTAAAATTCATTCTATAGTAATTTCAATTATTGTAGCACCTAAATAAACTATACAAAACAGAACAAACCTTTTCTGGTGTAAATGTGGCCTTTCTTTCTACTGACTCATGTGATACGCAGTGCTCATTACATCCCACATGGAAAACTAGGATGAGGATGTTTCGTATCTGCATGCAAATATCTTTTTTAAGTTTTATCATGATATCTTTTATTGTATCTCTTTTTTTCCTCCCTTAAGTAAAATATAGAAATTGTAACACTTTTTATAATAATCCTGCCTTTTTGATTCATTGGAACATATTATATTATCATTTTGTTTGCTGAGATTTGTATTTTTAGTATTTATTTACTGTAATAAGTCCTAATACAATTGCTTTTAAAATTTAGCAGTAGCATTTCTCTCTTTCTCTCTCTCTCTCTCTCTCTTTTTTTTAATCAAGAAGTATATATTATATTTCACATAAAAACACTTTAAACAAAATTTTCCGTATACATTTGTAAGCTTATTACATTTATTTTAAAATCGATGTTGCAATTATATGGATATCTCTTAAATGAATTGTATAGATCTAAATGACTATTGATTAAATTAAAAGTATCTTTAATTTTATTTCAAGCCTGGCATAGTGGTAGGAGATGCACTCTTATTAATAAGGACAAGTCTTTGACTGCAGCTTTCAAGAATGGCCGTCTTTATTTGACAAACAGGTATTTCAGATTAAAGATAAGAAATATTTTTAAATTTATGAAGTATTCAATTGTAGTAGCTAACAGAATTTACGTAAACTTTTTAAAGCAAAATCTAAGTAAAATTAATCCATAACTGAGTAAGTAAAATCTTTGAACATACTGGCAGTTTCTTTTTATGTCCCAACATAAAAGGATTTGGCAGTATAAAAATCTTATTTTTTTCTGTATGCAGTATAACACGAGAGATGCTTCTTTAGAAAAGTCTTGCAAAGGATCACCCTCTAAATTAGCATTTCCTAAAAACTGTGAGTCGGAACCCCATATGAATTAAATGGAATATTAGTTGCAGTCACTTCGTTACCTTTCATAATCTTTTTAATATATTGCATTTTCCGTACAGCACAATTGCAAAATTGTAATACTCGCCAAGTTGAACTGTAAATTATATATTTATGTACTAAAGAATACCACTAAGTGCATTATAATAGCTGTGTTGCAATTTCTGTATATGAGTTATTTCAGAATCAAAATGTGCCGTAAACTCACAATATGTAGTCCAGATCAGGCATGCGGAGAATAAGGTCAGCATTGCTGCAGCTAGTCTTGTGATAAAGCTTTTCAGTTGTGATATTCAGTTGTTTCTGTTTTATCACTATAGAAGTGTATATTGCAAGAATAATACAGTATTGTATTTTACTACTTTACTCAACTAAGTTTGATATTTATATGAATAATTATTGTGATGTTATTTAGTTTTTATGTTTAAGATAAAAGTATTTTTTACCCATGAATGGTTAACTTGATTATCAAAAATAATGACAAATATGGCATCACTACAAAATTTTTTCAAGTAGAATTTAGTTATCAGAAAGAAGCATCTAAAATGTAAAAAAAGAAAATATGTGACATTTGTCCAATTTGGCTTATCTTTCACTTACTGCAATGATAATGAATAAATACGTTGTTTAATTTGCTGTAACATTTTGGGTATAGAGAGTACGAAACCATCAAAATTAAAAAGTCGTCTTGAATCCAAACATCCTTTGCACATCTATAAACCAGAAGAATATATTGAATTATTTTCAAATCTTCAAGCAAAGAAAAAATGAAAAATTTATGACTATTGGTAAAAAATACTTACTCGCATCATATGAAAAGTTTCATTCTGATTGCTAAAAATAAAAAAGCATACACCATTGGAGAACATTTTGTATTACCTGCTGCTATTAAAATGACAGAAATACTTCACAGAAGTAAATATGGTGATAAAATTCCTTTTCAAGCAGCATTGTTGCCAATAGAATTTTTTAAATTAGCAACGAATGATTTGAACAACTTAAAGAAAACAACTGATATTTCAGAAATTTTTCAGTTGCTATTATATATGTCAAATACATTTATAATGAAAACATTGATCATACTGGAGAACAAACAGTGTAACACCAGGGTGCCTGGGTCTTAAGATCCTACCCCTTGTCAAACAAAATAAATTGTTTCGAATCATGATAGTGAGTAACTCAACAGATAAATTCATAAAATATGTACATAATTATATATTTTTTCAAATGTTTTAAATATTATATTTCAATACTAAGAAGAGATTAAGTGAATAAATGTAGCAAACTAGAGCATACGAATAATCAGAGACTAATTAAAATGCCATCTGGGAAAGCTGAGAAGGGGGAATGAGCTGGCGTTAACCTGTAAAGACACTTAGTACTCTGAAAAAAAAAAAAAAAAAAATGGGCAAGTAATGTGAGTCTCTTGGTGCTGTTAAAGGGCAATGTTACAAATACAGAATCTTAAATTACACATAAAGTAAACAAGGTTACAAATTACAGTATTAACAAATTATTCAAGATGATTGCTGAGAATGGAACTTCCTGTGTTCTGTCAACAGTGACTTTAATTTTCCATCTTTTTAGCCAAGTCTCGAGTATTTTAATGTATTCTTGTAACCTAATTGTATTGCTAGGCTAAGAAATGCACTTTGTGTGAGGATCGCAGTGTCATCAGCATACATTACGTGTGTTGTGTTATGTGTGGTGGGAATGTCGTTCACATAGATATTAAATAAAGTAGGTCCGAGCAGAACCCCTGCAAGGATTGCTCTGCGTGTAGAAAGTGTGTTTGAAACATGAATGACAAAGTGTCTACCTGTCAGGTAAAATTAAATTATGTTTGTGATGTAACCTGGGAAACCCAGGTTGAGTAATTTGTATATGAGTGAGTCTAGCCATACACGATCTGAAGCATTTGCTATATCAAGAAATAGTCCTCCAGTAACTTTCTTCTTCACTGATGATATAGCTAGTTCGCAGTAGAATGTTCACTTCGAAAGCCAAACTGGTATGGAATTATGATGTCATTCTGCTCAAGTTGCGGGTTAATTTGAGTAAGTAAGACAGCTTCCATGATATTGCTGAGTGACGACAACAAGCTTATAGGACGACAGGACTCAGGTAGGTTTGCAGACTTGTAAAGCTTTAGAATGGGAGTTATTTTGGCTAACTTCCAGCTTTCAGGAAAGTAGTCACTGTAGTATGAGGTTGATGATTTTTGTGGAGTAGAGTAGAACCTTGACAGGAAATCTCTTGATCATTCTGTTGTTGATGGAATCATGGCCTGGGCTCTTGGCCAGGCCTATAAAGCTCTATAAAGAACTTAAAAGATGGGAAGACATATATACTAAAGTTAGCAATTTCTTTAAAATTGAAAGTTTAGAAGGAAAAACTGCATTGGAATATGCACAGATGGTGCAAAAGTGATGACTGTCAGAAATATTGATTTTAAATTGTTTGTTAAAACTGCTGGTAATGATCATGTAACTTTTACTTCCTATCTGATACATTGAGGGATGTTTGCAGCACAAAAATAAGCAGTGGAATTCAATGATATGTTTTAGGATGCTATCAAAAGTATAAACTATATTAAGAGCTCTGCCCTTAACAGCCATTTATTTTCAAATTCTGTAAAGACTTGGTCTCTGAAGACAAAAATGTATTATTACACCCAGAAGTAATGAATCTCAAAAGGGTAAAGTTTAAGAAGGTTATTGTTATTTTAATTTTTTGCTTCATTTTTTAAGATGAAATTCTTTTATATTTTTATTTGAATAGAAATTTGATCTTGCTGTTGTTCTTGAGAATGATTTATGGCAGTCAAAGCTTACTATTTTTCAGATATTTTTTAGAAACTAACCAATATTAATTAGTTTCTTCAAGGGAAATACAGCAGTATATTTATTATGAATAATAAAATCAAAGTTTTTATAAAAAAGATCAAAAGAGCAAGGAAAAATGATTTATATGAAATGTTTTTGTTGACAGTTTTATATTTGAAAAAATAACTGTAAACCTTTAATTATAAAAATTATTGTATATCATTTAAAAACCCTAGAAACAGTTTTATAATAGACATAGTTACATGGCTTTATGATGAATTTTGATTTTAGGAAGTTATCCTTAATTAAAAAATTGTTTTGATTGACATTAATGAGATTAATTAATTACCTGTCATATAACACCCAAGAGGCATTTTTTGAGCTCTCTGAGCTTTTTGTGTTGATCCAAACTTAAATCTTATTCTCCCACAAAAATCTTTGCCTGAATTCTGGATTGGAGTTAGAATTGAATTTCTTGCAATTTTTGACGTGGCATTAAACATTCAGCCATTCAGCACCACATACTTATGTGAAATGACTTCTTCAGCTTTAACTCTTGTTAAATCCTAACATTGTTGAATGCTTAAAAATGTTGAAGATGCTTTGAAAGTAGCAGTGCCAAATATTGCGTTACGATTTAATTTGTTATACAGCAAAAAAACAAGCACATCCATCTTATTAAAATGTGATTTTCTTTCATTAATTCATGAATACTTGAAACAAATCCTAAAACTTGTTTTCATATGTATATTGTTTACCAAAGAAATAAATTATTTGTAGGGAAATATATATCTTTGTATAATGATTCCACACTTTGACTGGAAAATGTGGTCTTCTACGTCTAAGCCCCTGAATGTATGTAAAAAAAAAGTATGTAAGAACTTCATTGTACCTATCTTTGTCGGGATACGTATTAGCAAGTTGATCATGAACTTTTCTTACTTCATGCAGTTGAACAAACGGTAAAGCCGCAAGTGATTTTAGCTTTATTTTGCAATCGATGCTTGTTTCAAACTCATTGATCAAACCAACATTTGAAATTTTTCTTAGAATGCTTTGGCATAAGTGAAAATAATATCCTTTTATTTCAGCGTATGGAAAAGCAATGGCAGCAGCATTCATACATGCTTTTTCAAAATTGACTAAAACTCTGTCTGGAGCCATTAAAAAGGTTTAAGAAGCATTGCTCTAAACGTTACCATCTTTTATGTGCATTATAATCTGGTTCTTTCTCATTATCTGCATCTCCAGTTTCAGTTTTCACTGAAATTGCTGTTTTTGGTATATTTTCTGGTATATGAAAAACAATAGCCAAGCTAGGTATGCTCACAAGTGGATTTACATGAATTATCTTTGTCATTTCGATGAATAACATCTACTGGCTGTAAAAATATAAATATCAATCATATAGATATTTGCTTTTTCATAATGCTTCTTATTTCTTATAAAGCACTTCTTTTTATTATTTATGCACAGAACAGTACATAAATTCCATAAAGATAGTAAAATAAGTGGTTTTAAAAAATTCACAAAGCTGACAACGAGTTAGTCACTTTTCTTAGTAGTGCTGATAATCAAAAAGTACCATAAATTATCCCAGTACTAAAATAATACAATCTGCTAGTGTAATATATTGTATGGCTACTGTTAGTATTTATACATTTTCAAAAAGATTAATAAAAAGCAATTTTTGGTTTTTTTTTTTTTTTTTTTTTTTTTTTTTTTTAAGAGAGAGAGAAATTAGATGGAATATTTAGATTTCTGTTATTAAAGATTCCATTTAATTTCTGTAAAAAAAAAAAAAAAAGGGTCCTTCTGTATGCTAAATTTCTTTAGATTAGATGTATGTAAAAATCTTCATTTTAACTGTATATATTAAGCAAATTAAAAAAAAAGAAATTACTTTAAAAAGAAAATAGCACTAAACTTTGCCATGAAATCTAACTAATTGTGGTAACCCAAATGATACATAAAGCTTTATGAAAAATAATGAATTTGTAATAATTGTAATGTGTCATATAATGTAATATATAAAATGTTTATTATGTGCAATGCCAATTTTGAATGATTCTCTTGTATATTTTAAACAAAATCTTTTTGCTGTGTACATGGGAAGAACTGTTGTGTTCTCCTGTTGTTATATAATCTTGGCATTGCTTGCATGAAAGATTGCATATCTTTTCATGATGCAGTATAAACAGTCTACCAAATTTGGCAATTGGTTCCCTGTTAACAGAAAAATAACAAAATTATTTTCATTGGGCATGTTGATATGAAACTGTAACATTTATGTATATTTAAAGTGTTATTCTTAATTGTGAATATTAAAGATAACACTTTCTATATTTTTTCTTTCTTTCTTATGTAATTACGTATTTTTGGTGTTTTATTACAGAAGTGACTTTTGTCACTTTTCAAATTGTATTTCTAGCTTGGAATTAATCTTGGTTTTAAATTGGCTTTCTCTCCAGTTTCCTATGTTTTGAAAGGTCCAAATCAATTACACCAAAGAATTTGGTCTTGGCATTAAGAAACATAAATAAAGTCGAAAAGGTAAGCAGCATGATTAAAAAAAATTATGTGTTCAAATGTTTATGTTGTGCTGATGCAAAAACTTAATTATTTTATTATTCCAGGCAAAACCATACCCTTGGATACCAGGTGGTGGAATGGCTATTGAAGTAACAATGATTGCTCCTGAAAAAGTAAGTTTGCAAGTCATATTTCAGTGTATTTTGCTGTGCATGCGATTGTTTTATTCATAAAATAAAGTTATCAAAGGGGGGGAAAATCATAAATGACTATAACTGGTCAAAATAAGAAAACAAGTCGCATTACAAATATGTTTATCTAATATAAAAAGTGCCATCATTAGAATACTAGTATATTTATTTCTAGTGTATTGCATACTTATAATATTCTATGTGTTGCCCGCTTATTTTATTAGTTATCAGATTTTGGTTTTCTGTTGTTGGAAAATAGCATTTTGTGTACAATTTCTTGAATCTTGAAATTTCAGTTTTTTCTTACTGAAACTTAATTGAAATATGTTTTATAACCAATTTAGACTTATATCTTTGGCGCCATATTAAATCGAGATGAGACTTTAGACAGCATTATAGATGTTGGCCAAAAAGCAGGATTGCCATGGGCATCTTCCATACCTCTCAATCAGTCTGAACATGAAGAATCTCAGCAAAGCTCAAGCACAAAAAAGACGGCTTCATGATCACTTCATTTGCGTTTGAGGTGTATTCTTTGTTGTATGTAGCTTTCAACGTGTTTCAATTCCCTACAAATTAAGAGCTTCAGAATGCATACAGAATCTATGCATGCATGATTCTGTTTGCTTCTACTTAAAATGTAAAGATTGATAATAAGCGATGTCTTCTGTGTTTTCATCATACTATTTCTTGTAAAGGCAGTCCAGATGTTAATTTAATACCTTTGGGTATATAAAAATTCCATTATTAAAATGTTTATATTTAAAACTATTTACTGCAATAAAATGTAACAGATATATTTCTTTCAGTTGTAAGAGGAATTTAATTTGTATCATGGAAATTACCGGCTTATTCTCAAGTAAATCATGAAAAGATATTGTATAGGGATTAAACAAAAGAAGCACAAGTAATGAGAGTAATTTTACTCCACTTCCTTTTAAAGAAAGCTGTTCTCCTTTCATTGATCCTTAAATGGTAAATTAGTTGGGCTGTTATCTATAGGAAATTGTGACTTATTTAAAAGTTTCTTCTTTTTATGCTGTTTTTTTAAAGGTTTTTAATTTTGACAGGAGAAAAAGTTATATTACTGAATTTTGCTAGTATGCAGATATTGGAAGTATTTTGAAGAATATGCAAGAAAATTATTATTATTAATTCTGCTTTGTAATATTTAGGAAAGTTATTATAAACTACCAAGTGAAATCTGGGTAAACTGAGAAATGGTGCCTATCCTTTAACTTGTAAAACAATTATAATAATTGATGACATTCATTTTTAGCAGTTCACTGTCTTATTTTTATGTATAATTTATCAAAATAATCTTATAAATAAACATTGCTATTTACATGAATATTTTTCTCAATGTTTTGTAAAATATCTAGCATTTACTAACTAAATAATTTTTATGGATATGTCACTGAAAAGAAATTCTTATAAAAGTTAGTGATTTCACTATTTCATAAACATAAAATACAGAGTTTTCAGTAATCTAAGTTTGAAATGTTTTTGTGTTGTTAAAAGTGCAAGGGCATGTACATTTTAAAGAATTAAAAAAATCACTTCCTGATATTTATTGCTGCAGTAATGCATATGTAGCTTCAAGCATTGTTTTATTTATTATGTAAAATAAATATAGTGAAGTAGAAACAAATTTAACAGATATGAAAAATGGTAAAGTATATCCTGCTAAAGCTTTTAATTATAATAACATGGAAAAGATTCAAACTTTTTAAAGGACAAAAATGGGAATGTGTGTATATTAAGAAAATTGTAAAAAGCTTGACTGTTAGTATGATAATTTGATTTTTTCCCAACATTTTGAACATAATATTAAGACTAAAAAATAATTTCTACACAGATCTCTTAATTTGTTAAAATTATTGTTTGAAAATTATATAATGTTTTTCAAAAACAGTATTGCTAATTTTAGATGTATTTTATTCGTATGTCTGGACTGTCCTGCATAATGAAACTCAAAGTTCTAGTTTGCTTGATCATTTTTACTTCTTTAGTTGCATGTTACCTTGCTGTGTTATAAAAGTATGTGTGCTATATGTAGTTGGAAAAGGAAAGTAAAGCTGTATAATGCTTTTTGAAATGTATATAGTGTTTGTAGAAAAATTCTTTTTTTAATTTTTTTTTTTTTTTAATTTTTTTTTTTTTTTTTTTTTTTATTTTTTTTTTTTTTAGTTGTTTTGGTTAATTTTTATTACATGCAAATGCTACTTACTGTCTAGGTAATATATAGGCAGTTTCATGTTTTAGATACATATCCTTAACATTTATTCATAATACACCATTTTTCATTTTTAAACTTTCTTTTGAAAATGTTATTTTAATAAGTCATATTTTAAATGACTGCGAAAATTTTCTATTGCATCAAAATATAACATTCTCATAAATTTGTCTTAGCAATATCATGTAATTGCACATTCTGCATATGTTATGCCACATTTTTTAGCACTTTTATGATAGTCCAGTATATGCCTTATATGATTTCCCCCTTTTCTTTTGATCTTTACCTTATTTTTACCCTTTTGAAAATTTCGGAAATTTATTTTGGCCAGTGTGGTAATTAACCGTCCATATTTTTAAAATTAGATTTTTCAAAACTTTAAATTGCAATCCAAGCTCATCCGTATTTGTTTTTCTGTGTAAACTAATTTAAAATGTCATATTGTAGTTTTGAAATTAGTAATATTTGTATCATTGTAGTCTTTCTTGTGTTTTGTTTAATTTTGAGTTGCGTTTGTGGTTTCAGAATCATGCTCTTTTTTGTATTTTGCTAAGAACAAAGAGAAGATCAAAATTAGCATTTTATGGAAAGCATTAAATAACAAAATAAGAATGCCAAAGTAAATGCTCATGTATGAAGAGCCAAATCATGATAATCATCATCATATGTATTCATTATCTTAAAAAGGAAATTCTTTTATAATTCTGTACTGAAAAGATTTTAAATTTTTGATGTGGAGTTTTTCATTCTTATTCAAAACATTATGCACTTTTTACATTAGATTTAATCCATTATACATTTTAAGTATTGGGTTGTACATTTATAGTTTTTTTTTTTTTTTTTTTTTTTTTTTTCCCAGAGTATACTTTAGTAATTTTTATACCAAGTGCTTGGTATAAAAGTTTTTCTCAGTTTGACCAGTTCCAGGTTTTTAACAGTTGACTACTGTTCTCGTGTTGTATCATTGATACTTTGTTCATCTTCCAGAAAATTACAACCTTTTGTATTTTTGCAGTGTTATTGGTAGTCTTCATAATTTTGATATCATACTTACTTTGATTGCCCCAAAATATTATTGATTATAGCTGAAATATAGTAGAAGGAAATACATATAAAGATATGATTTTTAATTTTCTTCTAAATTTTCTATTTCATTACAATAAGAGTTTAAAATTTTGAATATAAAATTAAGCTGCAAAATTTTGTTCTATTTACCATTTATTTATTTAAAAAAATTTTGGGGGGATTTTGCACTGACTTTATTAAAATGTTTATAAAATGATAATGATAAATTTAAATTTTAGTGTATAAAGTTGTTCAGAAAGTATAATGCACATGTATGTGCTATTTACTTTCCTTAACTTGAATTTGAAACTTTAGGAATATTTTACTAAATCTTGAAGAATATTACTAAGAAAAACATTGTAAAGGGATTGTAATTTTAAAAAAATTTAATTTTTTAGTACAAAAATATTTCTAATTTACTGAGACTAGTGCAATTGTATCTCATATTCGCATATCTCAAAAGCATTCCTAACTATGTTCACAATTTACATTTCAGATATTTATAATTGAATACATGGGAAGCAACAATGTTAAATTTCTCTCTCTCTCTTTTTTTTTTTTTTTTTTTTTAATTTATGTATGAAAATATTAATGATTTGCATAGATATTTTGGAATAATATTAAATAATCTAAATAAAATATCATTGATTTCTCTGAATTTTTTATTGTTATCTTTTGTAGATTAATACGAATGAATACTTCTGTATTAGTTTTCATGTACCTGTTATGCTATTGTTTTATCCTCCTCCTTTTCTTTTCACTCAATTAAAGCTTTAAATATCTATATATTTATATATAAGATTATTATAAGTGTTTCAAAGTTTTAAATCTGTTTTATATATATATGTCTTTTGTATCTGCAGTGTTGTTTTAATTTTTTTGTGTTTTATGATATTGTTACAGATACTCAAAACATTCTACCATACTCAGCAAGATGTTTTAATCTGTTTAATTTGTGGTCTTTATTTTGTCTTCGTTAAAAACAAAGATAACCACTTGCTTTTTATGAAGAATGTATTTTTCACTTTTGGGGCAGGGTGATAAAATGAATTTTCTATAGTGCATTTATTTATTCTTCAGTAAGAAACTTTTGAATTCATAAAAAATACGTATGTGAAGTAATTCTGTGAATCTATAATTAGAGTTATGTCTCTGCTTCAGTATCTGTGACTATTATTTTATTATTGAAATATTTTGTGATATGAAATTAGATTTCAAATGTATCTCAGCTATAATATTTTGGCTGTTATTTTACTACTGCATTATAATTTTATATAAACTTTAGTTTTTATTAGTATGATTGTATTTGTCTGGTTTTTGCATATTGAACATTGTATGTCAAAGCTGTTAGAATTAATTTTAAAATATTTTTTTTATTAAACCGGTGTTTTATTTTTTGTCCAGGAAATTGTAATATTGTTGAGATTTGTATTGAGTAGGAAAATGTTTTAGTTCTTTGTATTAACTTTAAGATTTTTATATATTCAGCAGGACTGAAACTTCATTGTGTTCATTATTGAGATTCTGTTTTCCTCTCATCTCATCAATTTTTATATTTTATTTTTTACTTAGTAATTTTGAATTATATGCATTTCTGTTATTTTTTATTAGTAATGTGATTTAATAGCTGTTATCAGTTATAGGTATATATAAAAAGTGTATTGAAGATAATTTATAGAAGTGGAACCTTATCACAGCTGATTGATCTTCAGCATCAAAAATGAAATGTATTAGAAACCAAAGACTGAAGTTTTTATATTTTATTTATTATGCAAGCTAATTTTTTGCCTGTTAGTCATGAAGTGTATCAGAAGAGGTAATTAAACTCTCTCATTGTTGAAGGTATTCTAGTCTCCTATGTCTAATAACTATAACAAAAGAAAATGAAACTATATAGGCACACATTTTAGAACATAGTCATCTGCTTGATATGTTGTTACTGATTAGCAAGTTTTGTCTCTATGATGTATTTTAATACATATTTAATTATTTGCATATATTTTCTGTTATAAATGTATTAAAATTGGACTTTCTCACTCAGTTTAAATTACTAAATGTGGGGGGGGGGGAAACTTTAATTTGCCATTAAATGTATTTGTTATATTTAGGATAGCTTCTGCTCTCTCTCTCTCTCTTTTTTTTTTTTTTTTTTTTTTTTTAAATATTTTAATAACAGTTGACTACTGTTCTCGTGTTGTATCATTGATACTTTGTTCATCTTCCAGAAAATTACAACCTTTGTATTTTTGCAGTGTTATTGGTAGTCTTCATAATTTTGATATCATACTTACTTTGATTGCCCCAAAATATTATTGATTATAGCTGAAATATAGTAGAAGGAAATACATATAAAGATATGATTTTTAATTTTCTTCTAAATTTTCTATTTCATTACAATAAGAGTTTAAAATTTTGAATATAAAATTAAGCTGCAAAATTTTGTTCTATTTACCATTTATTTATTAAAAAAATTTTGGGGGGATTTTGCACTGACTTTATTAAAATGTTTATAAAATGATAATGATAAATTTAAATTTTAGTGTATAAAGTTGTTCAGAAAGTATAATGCACATGTATGTGCTATTTACTTTCCTTAACTTGAATTTGAAAACTTTAGGAATATTTTACTAAATCTTGAAGAATATTACTAAGAAAAACATTGTAAAGGGATTGTAATTTTAAAAAATTTAATTTTTTAGTACAAAAATATTTCTAATTTACTGAGACTAGTGCAATTGTATCTCATATTCGCATATCTCAAAAGCATTCCTAACTATGTTCACAATTTACATTTCAGATATTTATAATTGAATACATGGGAAGCAACAATGTTAAATTTCTCTCTCTCTCTTTTTTTTTTTTTTTTTTTTTTTTTTAATTTATGTATGAAAATATTAATGATTTGCATAGATATTTTGGAATAATATTAAATAATCTAAATAAAATATCATTGATTTCTCTGAATTTTTTATTGTTATCTTTTGTAGATTAATACGAATGAATACCTTCTGTATTAGTTTTCATGTACCTGTTATGCTATTGTTTTATCCTCCTCCTTTTCTTTTCACTCAATTAAAGCTTTTAAATATCTATATATTTATATATAAGATTATTATAAGTGTTTCAAAGTTTTAAATCTGTTTATATATATATGTCTTTTGTATCTGCAGTGTTGTTTTAATTTTTTTGTGTTTTATGATATTGGTTACAGATACTCAAAACATTCTACCATACTCAGCAAGATGTTTTAATCTGTTTAATTTGTGGTCTTTATTTTGTCTTCGTTAAAAAAAAAGATAACCACTTGCTTTTTATGAAGAATGTATTTTTCACTTTTGGGGCAGGGTGATAAAATGAATTTTCTATAGTGCATTTATTTATTCTTCAGTAAGAAACTTTTGAATTCATAAAAAATACGTATGTGAAGTAATTCTGTGAATCTATAATTAGAGTTATGTCTCTGCTTCAGTATCTGTGACTATTATTTTATTATTGAAATATTTTGTGATATGAAATTAGATTTCAAATGTATCTCAGCTATAATATTTTGGCTGTTATTTTACTACTGCATTATAATTTTATATAAACTTTAGTTTTATTAGTATGATTGTATTTGTCTGGTTTTTGCATATTGAACATTGTATGTCAAAGCTGTTAGAATTAATTTTAAAATATTTTTTTTTTTAAACCGTGTTTATTTTTTTGTCCAGGAAATTGTAATATTGTTGAGATTGTATTGAGTAGGAAAATGTTTAGTTCTTTGTATTAACTTTAAGATTTTTATATATCAGCAGGACTGAAACTTCATTGTGTTCATTATTGAGATTCTGTTTTCCTCTCATCTCATCAATTTTTATATTTTATTTTTACTTAGTAATTTTGAATTATATGCATTTCTGTTATTTTTTATTAGTAATGTGATTTAATAGCT